AGTTTCCTTTAGGAGTTTAACATATGATGCTATGCTGCTGCTTTCTCTTCAGTTGCCTATCCCGCTATTGGTGATGGCGGTGCAACTCGTGTTGCTTAAACGAATGCTGGTGAGTAAACAGGTTCCAGTTCAAATGCATCTGGCTAACTAGCCACCTTTCACGCTGCTCCTGTTACCACCTCTGCTTATATTGCTATTGAGAGTGCAGGTTCTAAATCAACAGATTCAACTGCAATTGCTGCTGACTTTATATTTGCTACTGATGCTGGGAATCCTGCTACTCAATCTGTAATGGGATCTCCTGCTCCCCGTGCTTCGGTCACACTCTATATGCGATTGGAAAAAGAAGTTGCTAGCATTGGGTATCGCCCTAGAATTGGAAGGGATACGGGGCAGGACCAATACTAAGAGAATACCTAAAACATATTTATTTACAGGAATCGCTAGAGAGAACTAAAAGCTACAAGATGACCGGGAATCGAACTATGAAATGAAAGTAAGGACCGATGCCCATCAATGGACCTTTCTAAGATTAGAAAAGCCTTACTAAAATAGATTCTTTGTACAGATCTGCTGAAAGAAGGCCTATATTGGCATTTTTCTCTCTCATACAAAAATCTTTCACTGGCTGTAACGGAGAATGCATGAAAAGGAGAAGGCGAAAGAAAGGTTTCCTCGTACCAAGGACAGGTAATGGCAATTAAACTCGGGCTTGCTATTGCTTATCAACTTCTTATGAAAGTGAACCAAGTGTAGTAGCGAACAGATCTTTCTCTTCCTATAAATGTGCAGCCTTATTATAAGATACCACTGGAATTGCAGTTGGTCAAGAAGTTCCTTGCTTCAGGAAAGAGAGAAAAGCTTCATTATTATCTTCCTTCTGTCACATTTGCCCTGAAAACAGCCTATTCTATACCAGCTTCTTCTATAGATGATATAACTGGAGCAGATTCAATAGCAAAGGATATTCACCCAGTAGCGGCAACTGCTTGAGCTGATACGCAACAAGACCAGAAAGACTGGTTACGCTTACACCAACAACGGATACTGGTTGACGGGATACGATAGCAGTGACACTTCTATTGATAGACATATAGACCTCTTATCGAGATTTATTCTACAAGGCCTCTCTTAAAGCTAAAAAAGAAGAGTTAACACGGTCGAAGTACCTAAGCCCAAAAGAATGAGTTAAAGCCGATGATTTCACAAAAGCCCTTCGATTTAAAAAGATCCTATTCTTTAGCGGTCTCAATGACAGCTAGATTTCTAAACAGTTACTCTTGCTAACTCCCAATTGAGGAAGTTTCATAGGATTTTGGGCATACTCTGCTTTTCCTTCGGCGAGGATACTGTAGTTCCAATCGTTTGAGGAAAGCCCGCTTTTTGGCATCAATGAAACTCTTTGATCTAGGAGAGAATGCCACTAGATCAAAGAGTGAATAAGGAAAAGATAGAAGACAGGATGTTACTACTGCTCTCCTACTGAAAGAACTGGATTGTACGAGTATCGATAAGTAGATTCGGGATGGGAATAGAGAATGCATTTTCTTTTTCTTTTAGCTATTGTTGTTAAGGTTAAGGCTGTGTGCATTCACTAGCCTAGTGGAAAGAGAGAGTGATCTCATCTCGCAAAAGAGCATAAGTCGAATTGCATAAGTGATCACTAAACCTTCGTCTGCTCGTTAGCGCAGTTTTTTGATTGCGCTTACTAATAGGGCTTTTTTCTTTCATCTTTCGGCTTGATCAGAATCGATTCTATGATTGAATAGCAGAAGTGCTACTTAGTAGTAGAAACTCAGAGAGACAGACAGAGAGGGGACTCCATCCTACCTGCTAACTCCTAGGATGAGAAGTAGGTCCCTTGTTTTTGGCAGGAATAGTTCCAGCCTTTGTTGCCCCTCGGTAGAGTGAGTCTACTTAGCGAACTGGCAGGACGCGGAGATCGATTGATCAATATGAATCTCGAGAGTGGATGGTTGACCGCCGCCCCCTTGTCCTGGAGGCTCTTTGGTCGAGGAGGGGCTTGCTATCGTAACCTTTTCTTCCGGTGTATGTGAAAAAGAGTGACGAACCCTTTTTTGTTCGGTCATAGGTTGGTGTCTAAAGAACGAGAGTCGGCTTTCTTAACTTAAGGGAGTTCTTCCTCAGTAGCTCAGTGGTAGAGCGGTCGGCTGTTAACTGAATGGTCGTAGGTTCAAATCCTACTTGGGGAGAATTTCTAGTTATCGCTTTTCTGACCTAGCAACCCATTACGTTAGAAGGCCTTCCCCTTAGTTTCTAAACTAGCAGAATCGTGGGACATCAAAAGTGGGAAGTTGATTGTTGGTTTTTATTCCTCACTCTCGGTGAACTTGGTTCGTTCAATTCTTAGGGAGAAGAAGGATCCACTGGGAATGAATGGGAAGATTGGAGTAGTATCTTCATTAACCGGAAGGAATTTATCTCCACTAGCGTCATTCGAAGAACGAACAAAAAAGGGGTTATTGTTTAGGTAGGATAGATGGATGTAGTCTAATGGCTAAAGCTCTGCCAGCTTCTTGTAGACTGAACTCTCTTCTCTTTAGGCTCCGAGTGGTTTTTGGGTAGGATGGTAGAATTGTTCTTCACCACTAGTGGCAATGAAGTTCTTAGTAATTAACAAGGGTATCGGAAGATCACCACTCATTTCATTCATTCAGTGCCTGCGGTGAGGCGCAACCCACAACAAACAAAGGGGGAAAGCTTGCTTGCTGTAGCCCTATTTTAGTAGACTAGGCTTGGTAAGCTAAGCTATTTAAGTAGGCTCGAGAAGGGTAGGCTTGGAGCTTCGCTCAGCAGAAGAGCCTTACTTTAGATTATATTAGTAAAGCGCTAGCGCCCAACCTATGGGCTTTGAAGGGATAGAGGAAGGGAAGAAAACAAAGATGGTTACTCCTTTTAGTTTAGGAACATGGCTCGTTCATTCACTTGCTCATGAACTCGCTACTTCGCCAGAAGCGATTAGGGGGGCTGGGGAAGGCCGACGACTACATGAGGGGGAAGCTGTCGTAGAAGCTTTGCCTCTTGCTTTACAGAGATTGTTATGAACTGACTAAATGACTAGATTCTCTCGGAACGCTAGCTAAGCTAAAAAATAGTAAGAGTTCCCTTAGCACACAAGCACTAAGTAAGAAACCCACCTTTTGACAACCTTACTAATAGAAAGGGGAAAGATGCGCTCAAGCATGCGAAGAAAGCTCAAAGAGCTTCCCTTATATTATAGAAAGGTTTGTAGAAAGGGGCTTCTTCCAATATCCCAACAAAGTAGGGGCTTCAAAGCTTATAGTTTAGGGGTGCGCAGGTTTGGAACCCTATACAAGAGGCTAGCGTGCAATGGCTTTCTCTGATAGGGGCTCGCTTCTTCAAGCGGAGCTTGCTGCTTTTCATTTTGATAGGAGTAGGTAGGTGCTTGTTGCTCGCTTGCTGTCTACTAAACGAGCCTTCACTGCCCGCCCGGCCCCTATCTTTAATCTTAAGTAAAGTGAAGTCAAATCAATGAAGTGAACAGCCCAACCTCTTTGTTTTTTGCTTTGCCGGGAAGCTTCTACTTGTTGAAGCAAAGCTTCCCCAAAAATCAATAAATAGACTTGCTACTCTTTGATAGCAAGTTATAGTATAGGAAAAAGCTTCTCTTTGATAGCGGTCATAGGGAGGTTCAGAAAGGATCTGATCGTAGATAGAGACAACAACTAGTGCGGGGGTAGGGGCAGATGTAGCCAAGTGGATCAAGGCAGTGGATTGTGAATCCACCATGCGCGGGTTCAATTCCCGTCGTTCGCCCATCAATAAATGGACCATTTGTTATGCCTAGAAAGCATTTTTTCTGCAAGTCATCTCGAGGCTTTCAAATGCATCCAAGCCCGATTGAAACATAGAAACCATAGATTCACATCGCCTACTTGCGTCAGGCTAAAGCCCCCTTGGTTGCGGGTCAGGAAAAGACTTTCACCTCACCATCTCACTCTGAATCTGCAGAAGAGTATACCATATCGAACGAAGAAAAAGTAGATAGAAGAAATAGAAGCAAAGAAATAACAATAACCAAAGGTGGTGAAGGGGTATAGGGTTTTTAGGTTTGTTTCGAATTCGAATAGGTTTGTATCAAGGTACGTTTTCCCAAATGTTGATGGCTTGGAGTTCCCTATCTTTGAAGAGAAGGAGAGGTATGGGGATATAGTATATATAGAGTATAGTCCCTACTGTACGGTGCCCGAACACGATTTCTATCTTTCTTTTTGAATTTCATCCATAGAATGAACCAAGAACTGATAGAATTGTTGATGCCACCGCCCTGGAGTAGGAAAGAAGAGTGGAATTAATGATTTGAAAAAGAGGGCTAGGTCTAGCCAAGGATTGAGTCCTTTTTCTTGTGGATCTGCTACTCGACTCGTATTCTGTTACAGGTTTGCCTAGCGCTTCCATCGAAAGCTTATACCTGTTGACTTTGAAGAAAATTGCCATCCTCCTTTTAAATTAAAGCATCCCGTTCTTCTATTTCTGATTCATATGCATCTCAAGCCTTAGAGGAAGGGCCAAGCAAGGGTTAACATTGTGTAGTCGGGAATAGAGTTGCCGGTAACCTTTGGCTAATAGCTAGCCAAAGACAAGAGGCAATAAAGCAGAGCTAGCGAAGGGAGACCAAAAGCAGGAGCTTTTTAAGCGCGCTCTGAAACAAAGGAGACAGATACGTGAATGAAGTGAGATCTTGGAACAAGGGCAGTGGTTGGGTCTAGGAGAAAATGGAAGGAAAGTGGCTTGGGAATGAAACAACATAGGCAGTCCCTCATGAGTGCGGCACGCATCATTACCTTTCGCAGCAGTGCCTGACCAGTCCTTTCTCCTCTATAGGAAAAAGAGGTTTTGACCGCCTTACCCGTCATTGAAACACAAGCTGGAGACGTATCGGCCTATATTCCCACCAATGTGATCCCCATTACTGATGGACAAATCTGTTCGGAAACAGAGCTCTTTTATTGCGGAATTAGACCCGCTATTAACGTTGGCTAGTACCTATTTTGATGCTCTAGTAAAAGAGATAGAATCTCTGAATGGCCCTTTTGTTTTGCATTCAGAGATTAAATGATTAAAGATTTTCTTCACCCTCTTTTCTAAGTACGTGGGCCACCGCATATCTAACCGAAGCTATTGCATTGTTTGCCCTAATGATGGCCTTTTTGATCTTCTGATAAAAGAAAAAAGTTTCTTTTCTTTTATGGTGGGGCGGCCCCCACCATAAAGACTTAACAAAAATCAAATCAATTTCAAAAGCCCATGGGAAAGGGAATGGTAGAGCTATCGCGCGCGGGGAAAGTGTATGCATTTATGGTACTGGTAGTACTGGACAAGCTCTCAGGGAATAATCTCTTTCTTATTTCTTCCTTTTTTCCCATGACGACTAGGAACGGGCAAATCACAAATTTCACTTCAAATTCCGGACCTCAACATCCTGCTGCTCATGGTGTTTCACGATCAGTATTAGAAATGAACGGAGAAGTGGTGGAACGTGCGGAACCACATATTGCATCACTCCAGTGTGGCATAAAGCCGCTGACGCCGAGTCGGCTCCTATGCCGCTAGCTATGCCCTGCTTGGTCCCCCGGCACGGTGGAGGTTCTGTAGCGCGTCATGAGCACCGGGCTAAGGGGCGGTTGAGCAACTCAAGCGAACCGCCCTACCTTACTACAACATAAGGATAGAAGGGAGAAGGTTGTGAAGGTGGCCTCGTTATCTACACCTCCGGTCAGATGAATGGAGGACCGACCGACCCGGGTTTTCATGAGCGTTGGCGGGTCCTGGAGTGCCTGTCAAGGGCGCTAGCGCATACCCCGGGGTGATCATCACCACCTGCACCTCACATCTCGGCACAGTGGAACGTGTAACCCCCTGCTGTCTCATTCAACTACATTTGTTCCTGTAATCCATAGCCTAACAGAATGCAGCAGTGAGGGACAACCCACCCATACAGCCAGCGGGGAGGATGGCACTACTGGCAAAGACCGTCCGGCAAAATGCCGCAGGCGCGAAGCGTGGTAGGCCTGCGCCGGGGGAGCATAGCATAGGTAGGAAAGGGAGCCTGGACGGTGGAAGAGCCAGGGGAGGCCGGGTCATTTGACAGAAATGGAAGGCTTTTCCCCTATTAGAGAAGGCCATCTTCAGTAAAGGGGAAGTGCATTAATTCTTGGAAAAAGAGGGAACGAGTGGAGTATACGAAACGAGCCAAGCTTAAAGAGAGATAGGGGCGAGCCTATATAAAAAATGAAATAAAGTGAATTCAATGAATAGATAATAGATAGAGTCAACGGTACGACAGACAGCGCTGCCTACACGCGAATTAGCTTTCGAGGTCGAGTAGTCTCAATTTCACTACAAGATTTGCAAATGAATGCTGGGCTGGGCCACCTCGAATGGCATGAGACGCATGCGGGGAGACCCGCACGTACGGTTTTTAGGGGGATCTGGTCGAAAGACCGGCCGGCGCCCACCCGACTAAAAGGACTGAGAAATTAATAGAGTACAAAACTTATCTTCAAGCTTTACCTTATTCTGATCGTTCAGAGGGCGATCGCGGAGTCACTGAATGAAGTCCTCCGTTTCTTTTGGAGGTGCTGACCCGCAGCGAGGCAGAGATGACTAAGTGACATATGGAATATGGCGACGACAACAGTATGTCGTAGAAGGAGATAACTGGTGGAGCCAACGATTCGCTAAGACTAATGTATCTACAACTACATCCCCGAGCGGCAGTCAAACGGAGGCGTGAATGCAAGATGCCAGTAGAATGATCGGCCGGACAGAGGCTAGGGCTGCTTCCTTCCCACCGCGTCCTTCCTTGTGTGTTGGAGATATAAAGCGAGTGCACTGGAAAAGAACAGGAACTGGGTCGATTTATTCTATGGCGAAGCATCCGAAGCATTACTGCACACTCACACGATCTTTGCCGAGAGATAGGAGCATTCGGTGGAACCGGTGAACTACACTTACTTCTGGATAGATGTGTGGGACAGAGGGCTCGTGGTACCAGCTGCCCACCCTTCCTCCTCTGCTTTGAGAACCGTGTGAACGGAGAGTGGGCAGAAGGGAAGGAGGTCCTCATACGGAGTCGCATACTTACTTGAGCAGTGTGGAAGCCCTATCAGATAAGGGGAATGGGTTGAGTAAACTCCCCTGGGGCCGGAAAAATAACAGACGAAGCTTTACTTAGATAGGGCTTTGATTTGATTGGTATTGATTTATTCTTAGTGATTGGAAAGGAGGGCGCCTGGGTATGTTATACAAAGGGAAGGCAGAGGTAGTACTTCGAATGGCGAAATGAAGGGCGCCGAAGGCGCCAGTGATTCTCTGAGCTGGTCTGGATTTTCAATGCCTTAGGAAACTGGTCGAGATAGATGACAGCACCTTTGTCCTCTCTTCCTTACCGGGAAGGCAATATTCTCTTATGGCCTTCACCTCCCGCCCGGCCCGAAAATAGAACCCAGTCCCCCTTCTGATCCATTCATTTCTGCAAGCAGGGGGGATCCAAAGCAATGCCCCCTTCTATTACATAACCTAAAAAAGCTATAAGCAAAGTACTAAAGGTGTGCTCCGCCCGGTGACTAAGAAAGAAATTGGTTTGCGCTTTTTTTGAAGTGATGAGGTCGTAAAGAGGGAAGTAGGGCTCCTATTGAAACGCTTTCCCTCTCTCCGCGACCAGCTTTTAATACTAGTTGTTACGTTACGCTGCCATTTTTCCAATATCATTGAATAGCATGGCCTGGGGCTAAGGTAACTCAAGTGGGAGAGCCGTGTTATGGGTGACCTTATTGCACGGTTCAGAGAGCACTTGTGTATGTGATGCAAGTGAACGTGTACGAAAAAGCTGTATCTAGGGTGAGTTCTTCGTTCCATCATCGACCCTATCTATATTTCTACGATGGCCCAAGAACACACTCATTCTTCAACCGTAGAGAGACTTTTGAATTGCGAGGTACCATTACGAGCTCAATATATACGAGTGTTATTCCGTGAAATAACTCAAATTTCAAATCATTCACTTGCTTTAACTACTCATGCTATGGATGTGGGAGCATCAACTCCGTCCCTGTGGGCTTTTGAGGAGCGGGAGAAATTGTTGGAATTCTATGAAAGAGTCTCGAGAGCTAGGATGCATGCCAGTTTCATACGACCAGGTGGAGTGGCACAAGATCTGCCTCTTGGCTTATGTCGAGATATTGATTCCTTCACACAATAATTTGCTTCTCGTATCGACGAATTAGAAGAGATGTCAACCGGCAACCGTATCTGGAAACAACAATTAGTGGATATTGGTACTGTCACTGCACAGCAAGCAAAGGATTGGGGATTCAGTGGTGTAATGTTAAGAGGTCGTGCGATATGAAGACATTGATAGCAATATGGGGGGAGTTCCCATCAGGCAACAACGGTTTTGCCTGACCCTACTTAAGCATGCATATTATGTCAGTGAAGACTTGGTGTGAAGCCTTGGAGCTTATGTTATAAGAGCAAAAGGCCCGGGGCTAGGGTGAGCTGAGGGGGGACAGCGTAAGTGAGCGAATGTGTGTAAGCCCAGTTAAACATGACTGTTCTAGGTGGGGCGGGCCACCCACCTTCGAATGGTGTTGGTCCTACGGACCGTGAACGGATTCGCCTCTGGCCTCTGGGCACATCGGAACCGCATGAGTTCACCGGGGTGGAGCACGGTCCTCCAAAATCAGCATAGGTTAGGTGCTATTGATGGAACATGGTAAGCCTATCTTTCTCCATATGGAAGTGCTGCGGGCACATAGAGATGTGGGTAGAGGAAGCCTCAAAAAACGAAGGCCGAGCTGTAGGTCACGTGACCTGCATCGAGTTGGTGGCTGATTGGGCTTTTTCCTTGATCAAAGCAGATCAGCTCGCCTTCTTGTTATCCAAAAGTAGGTCGAATCGGGCGGGCGGCTTTATCTGATCAAGCGAATGAAATAGGTAGCCGGGTTCTCTTTCTACAACCCTTTTGATATGATAGGCCCGGCCACCTTCCCCCTATCCTTTATGTTTAGGAGCGGGATCCGCCCAAGAACGACCAGTCCTATAGTGGTACGGAAGGTACGGACTCCGCGAACGTCCTGCGCCCCCTTGACTAATAAAGGAAAGAAAGCCTCAACCAGAACCACATTCCTTTTGTGTGCGGATGTAGCTAAATGTCTGACCCTATTGGTCATAGTTCCCTGCTGTTGCGGCCAGTGCTTGTTTGCGCGCGCGTGAACCAACCCAACAAACTAGGAAAGGATGCCTCTCGGGGCATCTGAGAATGATTCGAGCCGTATGAAGGGAAACTCTCACGTACAGTATTTTTTTTGGGGGGGAGGAGCCCGACAGGGTCCCCCCACTGACTTGGCCCGGGCCTAAGTGAAAGTGAAGTGGTGGGCCTACCCATCCCAACCAGGGGTATGCTGGGATTCGCGAAGAGCAGCACCTTATGATGTTCATGACCAATCGGATCCTGACGTACCTGTAGGTACCAGAGGAGATCGCTATGATCGTTACTGTATCCGTATTAAAGAGATGCGACAAAGTGTTCGGATCATTGTGCAATGTCCTAATCAAATGCCTAGTGGCATGATCAAAGCTGATGATCGTAAGTTATGTCCTCCATCACGATGTCGAATGAAACTATCCATGGAATCGTATGCTGTGTGAAACGTAGATCATCGCAGTTCTTAACCGAGACTCAAGTTAAGCTCCGTCTCGGAACCTTGTGGGGTTAGGAGTAAAGCATCCCGAGGTTGGCGCATCTCGTTGGGCGTGGAGAAGCATTGGGAACCCCAATTTCTTTCTTCAGAGCTGTTTCTTTTCCCGTCCCCACGCCCCAACATAGCGCTTCGCTTCCAGTTCTTCGGAAGAATCAACTGACTTCTCCCTTCTTCATTGATCTGGGGGAAAAGGAACCGTCTACCAGTTGGGAAGTTAGACATCAAGTAAGTGGCTTGATGAGGATAACTAAGCTGACATGCCGGAATTGGCTGCTGGCACAACTGGGTGGTGCCTTACCACACCGCAGGCGAACGCACGGTAGCGTTTGTGGTGGTGCTTCAGGATTCCAATGTACTGCGTCCAAGATCTGAACGAGCTTGCCGGTGGACCACTGCCGTCCCATTCTTGAGTGAGCTGGAGTGCAGCCATCTTATCCACTAAACTAGCTAGAAGCTATCGCTTCGAGTCGAAGCACTAAAAGAAAAGGACCGGGAAACGCAGCGGCATAGGAACCACGGGACCCCTTGCTAGTAAAGGGAAAATGGAAGTGCGCTCCCACGCACCAGCTGAAAAAGCCCTAAACCTAGTAATCAATAACACTCCGATCCCTAGCAAGCAAGAAAATGGGGCAAGAAAGCCATTGCTTGTTCCTCTCGCTTCGCCTTTATCTGATAGGGGCTACCCATTACGTTAGAAGGCCCTTGCTTGTTTAGTACAAGCACTAAGTAAGCCCTAAAGGCCATAATAATAAGGTAAACTTCATAGCTCCAACCTAGACAAGGCATTTTTTTTCCCTTTTTTTAGATTGGGTTGTTGGGTATGGGATCCTCGTAGTAGGCTGGACCAACATCCAGCCGAGAGAGGGCAGCCTTTAGAAGCGGGAAACCAAGAGAACACTTTGCGTTTTCTTATCTTCTTCCCGCCCTAGGAGTAGCACAAAAAGAGGGATTAGCATTATTGACCCAATGATAAACCACTAAAACCTTCCTCATTGGGGCTCCGTGTACTGGGAAAACGCTCTAGCGACGGGAAACCGGCCACTAGTTACAAAGCTCTAATAAGGTATCGAGAGGGCTATCACAGTCAGGTGCGAAGCAATTACCCCCTATTTGTAAAGTACCCCTCTTCCGATTTAGGGGGTTGAGGCGAGAAATGGCTTGATGAACCGTTCCATTCGCCACGCACCGGCCCTATTCACTTGCTTATCGTAGAGGCTGTAAGTACACAGTTTCCCACAACTATGAATAGTATAATGATAGTGGGGTTGAAACACAAGAGTGCTCGCCCTTTCTTTCAAAAAAAGTGGGCCACTTTTTCCGGAATGCAGTCCGGGATAACCGTGACCGTGTAATATATATATATAAATATATCTTCGATGCTGTCATTTCAAAATGTCCGCTTCAACCGTTGTTTCATCTCCCAAAAAGCAAAGTTGGCTTGACGAGCGCAGATGCGAGGAAGCGGGAGCAATCAAACCAAAAATCTCTTTCTTGTCCTTCGAGCAAAGAGAAGCGCTTTTGCTACTGAGAAAGCGAACGGTCAGCGTGAAGGTTCACGACTTAGCCGAGCGTTAGCGAAGCTAGATTCTCATAGCGAGGCGTTTCGAGTTAGCGAAGCGCTGTAGTAGGGCCGAAGCCCTATGTGCTAGAATGCTGAGTCAAGGACGCTCCGCCTTATCTATCTATAGAAGCAGTCAACTGAGTTCTAAACGAATTAGCTCCTTGGTAATGGCTCAATCTATAGATAGAAAGCCCTATAATGGGAAACTATCATGTTAGGTTTGGAGAGAGATGGGACCGGTTATATAATAAGGAGAGCAGATGCAAGCTTTTTCTTTCAATAGCCGGCCAAATGACTACAGGATCATCGGTCTACTCTACCTCAATTCATCATTTTGAACTTTATACAAAAGGTTTTTCCGTACCAGCTCCTTCTACCTATGCCGCAGTTGAAGCACCTAAAGGAGAATTTGGTGTCTTTCTGGTTAGTAATGGAAGCAATCGTCCCTACCGTCGTAAAATAAGAGCACCTGGCTCTGCCCATTTACAAGGACTCGATTCTATGTCCAAACATCACATGCCAACAGATGTGGTCACCATCATAGGTACTCAAGATATTGTGTCTGGAGAGGTGGATAGATAGGATTACTAGTTGTTCGATCAGGACCCTAACTTTATTGCTAGCCAAAAACCCATTTATACGCCTCCTTTTTTATTCTGCGGCTACTATAGTATAGATAGAGGCTCACTTCTCAGCTATAGCTACCCAACTCTAAGAATAGGTAGGTCCGAAATCAAAGGAGAGACAGGTGTAACCGCGCATCCTAGGGATGCTTACTCATTCTTAAAGAAGGTTCATCTAAATTTTCGAAAGAGTTTGAGTCTTTCTCAGGGCTTTTGTTCCCTGGGCAGAGGGGCCTCCTACTTAGACTCAACAAATCTAAATGTCCTCACTGAATTTTTCGGGTTGAGTTGCAAAATCCTTATATTGGACGTTTAGGCCAGAAAAGCGAGCCGGCTGGAAAGACTAGGGTTTTTGTAAAGGTCGATTCCATAAGGCAGGAGATCTTTGGTCCCATGCACGAATGGGCGGCTGTTGCCTACTTATTTATTGATGCTTCGGCCAAACAGCTCTCGAGCAGCAGGTACTACGCATTCCAGGCTCTGCCCCGTCCGTCCGATGCTCAGTCAATTTGAGAGAGTTTCAAATCCCAACCGGTGCAAAAGTGATCTCTATTCCTCATTGCATTCAGGTACCGCGGTCAGTCCTTCTCTCCGTCCTGGCCAACGTTGCTCTACTGCAAAAAAAAGGTAGGTGCAAGAAAAAAAGGCAAAAACTCTTATTACAACCTTCGCCCTTTCATTGTTCTAGAGAGATACATGCTCCTAGATAAGCAAAATGAGTTCTGTTATGGGAATAATTAGGTTGGGCTTCTCCCGCCCACACCCGTGAATTCGTAGGTGGGTCAAGCCTGAGCTGGAACAATCCTCTTGAATTAACATATTCTCCGCTTTATCCGTCCCATCCCAATCTTTCCTTCTCGAATGCACTTCTCTAATAGCACAAGGAGGTGCTATTAGCCCAAGGGGTGAATCAATAGGGTTGGGTTAGGGAACTACGATCACTTACTCCGATTCTTTTCCCTTAGAAGATTGCCGCTATAGAGAACTGAGATGCTTCAAAGCCCTCTATTAGAGTTAGGACCGGGAACTAATAGAATAGAGAGAGCGAAAGGGGTGCTGTGGAAGATTGCAGAATCTTAGGACTCGCTTTAGGACAGCGCCTGCTCCCCTCTTAGTCATCCTAATAGTTGGCAAAGCACAAAGGATTCGTCCAGCCACTCCATACCACTGGATCAGTTAAAGGAGACCGATGCCAAAGGTTTTTCAAGTATCTAGAAAGAGGCCCGGTCGACCACACCTCTAATGGTTTGACCCAAAGAAGGGTCTCCCGTCCCTTTCAGATATACCAACTTGAGCAGGAATTAGGGGCTGAGAGGATCACTCGCCTTGCTACCATCCTTTCTAGCGAAAGACCAGCTCAATAGTAGACATCCCCCGAGCTATAGCTATTACGATTACGAAAGTCAGATCGTACTGAATCCCTCTTTGCCTCAGTGATGAAGGAAAGCCCGGGTAAGTGAGACCTTGACTTTGACTTCCAATCGGCCTAGGAAAACCGTTTTTTGTAGCTTTCAAAGTGATGGGATCAAGCAGTTACTCAATAAGTTATCTTCCGTTATAAACTAAAAAAGGGGTTAGTTGGCCACCTTCCTTCTTTCCCCTCAAGATGTGCCCTTGAATTTCAAAATCCTCCACTCGGATCTTAGGGATGGAATGACTTATATAAGAGATCGGTCTTAGGAAGCCTAAGGTCAGGGAAAGGTACTCCTTTTAGTAAACCAGTACCAATCTCTGTTCAATCCAATCAGTGGGAGTGGGAGGCATCTGACTTATAGTATAGAAAGGTCTTCGTCCACACCTAGGCGGTGTGAAGAGTTCATGCTTCTTAACAGTAGCTGCCCATTTCTTCCTTTCCTTACTTTATTCAATAGGGGCGAGTGACCCATTACTTTAGAAGGCCTCCGGGTAAATTATTACAGCTTGAAAGTCTTCTTTATCTTTTTATCGTTCGTGACCAATTCTTTATTAATAAAGCTCACTGAACTGTTCGTAGGTGAAGACCCAAGAAGGAAGGGAAGTAAGCAAGTAAGGAAAGGGGGTCTGCGATTAATAGGTAAGCCTGTGCTGCTAGTCTTAAGCTAGTGGTAGGGCAGCAGTAGGCCAGTAATCCTTCTTTCTTTCTAAGAATATGCCTTTCGGGGCTTTCCTCTTTCTCTTTGTTAAAGGATAAAAGCGCCATGCTTTATACTAAGAGTCGGTCCTGTGCTTCCATTAGTAAGGCAGGAGAGGAAGTCTGTGGGTAGTAAGGACAGTAAGTAGTAAAGCAAGGAAGGAAGTTGAATTCCCTCTTCAGTGGCCCACTACAATAATGGGTAACATATTCTCTTTGAATTCACTAAGAAGGGCCATAAAGAAAGGTTATATTCTCTCATGTGGGAATATGTACCGAAAGAATGAGATAGTTTATACATTACACTAAATTGAAAGTGGACATTCTATCAAATCTTGTAGTGGACAGGCAACTCTTTGCTTTGAAAGAGTCTTGCTTGCGGTTCATGACCTAAGCCGGATTTGAATATAGCTATGGGCAAGAAAGCCCGAGAGTCAGGTACCTCGCTTAAAAGCAAGCAGTTTCTTAAAAGAAGCAAGGTTACTTGTACCTCTCGCTTAGAAAGAGCTGCTACCGCTCCTTTTGGTATTGAATTAGCTTAGTGTGGTGAAAGGCTAAGGTTGAGTTATGGAGCCCTTTTTCTTTGAGGCGCTAGAGAAGTGAGATTTTAGAGCTAGACAAGACAACAGAGGAAAAGGAAGGTAGGTCAGATTCTCACCGAGCCCTAGTAGAAGCAGGTTGAAGCGTTGAAAAGAAAGTGATAGCCCGGATCTCCCCCACATTCGTCTTTCAATCACCGTGAAGGAAATAAGCCACTGAAGAGCCCCTTTGGTTTTTGGGAACCATGGGACGATAAAAATGATAGGACCGATACTCTTGCTGAATTGACTTGCCTTCTTGACTCATTTGCTGGGTTTCTGTATCCATCTTGCTTGTAGCCTTAGAGAACCATTCATTCATTGGTCTCAAGTACTCCCCGAGTATCACGCTAAGATATTCCTTTTCTTGTTCTCGCCCTATTTGTTCTAAGGCCCCTTTTACCCGTTTGCGAAGGAAGCCCAAGAGAGCGGTAAGGGGCGCAGTTGATCGCACCTACTACCATGGATGAGGATACGCTAAGGCCACTTTGGCTGAGTCAATCGAAGCTAAAGCAACGTCCAGTTGGCCGAGCTGATGAACTTGACCCAATAGATCTATTAGAAGCAACAGAGTAATAGGTGGAGGCAGATCTAGTGCTAGTAGGTCGAGGAATTCAAATAAATGTCCAGATTCATATCTAATTTCAAAGTAATGTAGGTGCGATCGAGCGAAAAAAGCCCAAGAGCTCCCTGCGTGGGGACCACCTACACAGGCATACAGCTGCGCACCAGACGGATTAACAAAGAGCGCGCGTACACAACATAACAAAGCTTAATCTCCGTCTCAATAGACGGGCAGTTCCATATCAAAATCGATAGCCGGGGAAGGGTACGAGAAGTGCTCATATAGAAATGCCCAGCAGCATCACGCCACCCATAGTCGAGGAAAAAGTGACTCCTAGCTCGGCTCGATGCCAAGTTGAACTCTCGTCTCTGGTAAGATGCATGGCTTTGAAAGCACTCAATCTAGGCCATGATAAAGCAGGCGAAATCTACCAACCACGTAGACCCCCCAATAAGGTAGGGCGGTAGGATTGGGGTGAAGAAATCCTATGTCCTTGTAAAACCCCTAGTGAACCGATAGGTGGGAGCAGGGCAACCTTGGATCGGTAAGCTCTAAATAATGATAAACGAGAGTAGTCAGAAGTGCGGAGCTTCGGGCTCAGGGAGCACCTGGTGCTTGTTTATGAAAGATTAACCGGGCAAGCAAGTGATTTCATACCTTGAGTATAGTGTGTGCCACCCGTCTGCCGATGGATAAGCAAACCTACCAGCAAGCAGTGGTGGCATCCCTTATTTTATGCTGCCGAGAATTGGTTTTCGTCGCTTAGGTGAGAGTTTTTGTCCCAACAGTATAATTAGGTTCAAGGGAAGGTCCTACTCGTCCCGTTGAAAGAATTGGAAAGTGCTTTTTATCAATTCCTTTGTTTGGTATAGATCGTACGAATCGTGCTGTAGCTTTCCAGCTTACCTCTGCCATCTGTTCCTACTAATGGTGGATCGCTGGAGATGGTATAGCAAGGCCTTTCATCTTCTTCAAGTGTAAGGTGGAAGCCCTAGGGAGTCGTCATCCATTCCATGGAAATGGAGGCCCGGTAGCTGTAGGTAGATAGCCTTAGCCTGTAGGAGATGCTTTTCCTCGTAAACTATAAGAATTTAACTTAAGAGCAAGCTCGTCCCCTGGAAGAAGGTAATAGTGGCATAAAGTGATGACTTTCCCTTGGGAGTCTTTCTTCTTCTTAAAGAAGCGAGTGTATGGAGTGATTCTTTTGCTTGACCAAGGGGAATAGTAGTTTCCTTCTTCAGGCGTTGGGAATGTTAGAGCGCCAGCCTTCAAAGCAGTTCCTCATATTCTAACTCGTAGGATTGTCATCGGCTAAGCTATAGGAAGGTGTGTCCTAGTAGGGTCTTCAGCCAGACTTAAGTAGTCGCTACCCCCTTGCTATTCGATGGCATGTCTCACTCCACTTCAAGCCGACCCTGCCCTTTGGAGTCATTTTTGGTCTCCTAGCGGAACAGAACAAGGGCCATTTAACTACTGACTCAGTCCTCTTCTATGGTGTCAACTTGATATAGGTAAAAGGCACGATAAGTCCCCCTCTAGGGTGTTTGGTCATTTATAGTCTTAAACGTGGATTTCTTCTGCTTATACTTTTCTTTTAGAGGTATTGTGTGAACTAGTGGACCAACTCTCTGGTTTTGAATCCATGATTTTGTATTGCTGTAGAATATTAGGGCAGGCCTTGTACTTGCTGTCGGTGTCGTCTGTCT